ATCGGATAAGACACCCTGCTGGTGAATTCAGTCCTTCATTATTCCATTTAGAAGAACCTCATCAAGAGTTGCATGTTCTGATAGCAAGTTTGAGTAGACAGCCTGTATTCTGCTTCACAACAAATCCCTTGAAATGCATTTGCTCCAGAAACTCCTCTTTAGAGAACCCAAAAATGCCAAAGCTTGATTCTTTAGAGAGGAAGGGTCACAAAAATCTTTACAAAAGGACTCCCGTTTTCCTTAAGTAGAGACTTCTTCAGGAAGTCAAAGATAACCGCCACTTATCCTTGACACCTACTGCACTTCATTACAAAATAAACTGATCCAAGGAGTGCTATCACCAACACCATCTTCTAGACAAGTTTCTTGGCAGGAAACTTTCTAGATAAAGATCAGATGCTTCTAGTAGAAACTAGAACACACCTGCTGCACTCCAATACTCCTAGATTAGAAATAAACAGATCTAAGAAAAATGTCTTCATCTTCACTTCCATCAACACTACATTCTAGCCTTAGTTTCTTGCCAAGAACCTTACTAGAATAAGGACAGATCCAACTATATCTCCTTTGATCTAGTGATTCACTCCTTGAATCAATAGAATTATGCACAATCTTTGCTGATGGAATGTCTCAACATCTGGTTGAACATCAGATCCTTGAATTAGATCAACCAAATCAGGGGACTGACACTTGTGCAACAACTGATGAGACAACTTGATCATCAACTAAGGATAATCCATTAAATATTTGAGAATATCTCAAATAGCAATGAATCTTAAATCCTTAAAATAAATCTTTCTCTGAACTTCATGGATAACCAATTAAATACGTGTGTAGTCCACAAATAGCAACTGATCTTAAATCCACACAACTTGTTGAGAAGACCATCTGATAGATATTTACACTTCACTAATACCAAAAGTATTCTTTAGTATAAGTATCTTTAATGTTGAAACATCAAGGCTGATACCCTTGACTCAACCTGCCTATATCCTCTTCTGTTGATAGAAACCTAGCAAGTCATGAGTGGTGAAAATAAATCACCTCCCACTATCTTCTTTAAAACAGTCTTCAGCAGCTTATAATACACAACTGAACAGCCCAAACACTCAACCAATAGCCCAGGCACACAAGAAACATAGCTACAACATTCAGCAACCTGTAGAAACAATCAACAACAGCCCAAACAAGCAGCATTCAGCAGGATCAACATCTTGTCAGATCAACCAAAGCAGCAATAAACACCATCTTCCAACCAGCTACACACCTGTCGTTGCCATATATCAAATTGAATACAGTATGCACAATACTCTCCCATGGCTACCAGAGTTCTTTCATCAGAAAAATATGCAGCGGAACCACCAAAAGAACATCTTCAACATGCCCTAAGATGTCAGAACATCTTATATGACATCATACAGAAGAAACTATATCAGAGAGTACAGCAGCAGATACACAGAATCCTTCAACAGCAGGAGTAAACATAAACTCCCCCTAAACGCCATAAGCAGCATCTCAAGCATTTAGCAAGATCATCAAAACAGCTGCCACTTCTCCTTGTTCAAAACACCAGAAAGTATGTCCCGAGATCTCATCCAGAACAGACAGGATGCCTGCTCTGATACCAATTGAAATTCTGGTATGCACATCTCAGATGTTCTAAGAGATGCTAAGAACATTGATCTCTACTAAAATAAAACAAGGACATAACATGTGCATTTTAGTTCACTTTAAAAATTAGCAGTGTTGTGACATCTGTTGTAACATTTGCAGACTGACAAAACCGTTTATTTAACCTTTTAAATTGAGCAAAATGTTAAATGCAGAAAGATAAGTAACTGACAGTCGATGTTATATCGGATGTTATGACATTCGCTTCTGAACAGATTATTAACCTTAGCAGTAAACAGGTAACGAAAGCAGTAAAGAACACAGGAAATTGTTTACCCAGTTCGGTGCAACATCACCTACATCTGGGGGCTACCAAGCCGGGAAGGAAATCCACTAGTAGCATAATTAATTCAGAGCTAAACTCCCAGTTTACAACTCCTCACTTAATCTCTACCCAATGCAATTTCTGCCTAGAACCCACTAGACAAGAGACACCTCTCACTCCCCCTCAATCACAGGAGTGATAAACAATTCAATACAAAAAGAAGATTTTAGAAGACACTCTTCAAAGTCACAATACTTGATTTTGCTTAACAGCTTCAATCAAGAACAATACACTCTTGCTTAACAGATTTGAGTGAACAATTAACAATTAACAATATGTCTACCACGATGCATCCAAAGATACAAAGGGTGACTTACAAAGTCACACACACAAGACTCTCAAAACCCTAAACCCTTATTTTACACTCAAGTTGTTCTTGTTGTGAGTGCTTAATTTTCCTTGCTTCTGCGCCTCCTTAAATAGTAATGCAGTCTGGGCTTGAGCTGATCAAAAGTAACAACAGGGAGAGAAGATTTCAATGTTCATAAATTGCAACAGGAATTAGGTTTAACCAAGTTAATCCAATCTCCATAATTCATAGTGTTATCAAATAGGTCATAGGCGTTTCATGTTATGCTCAACACTGCCTAGAGTCTCGTCTGAGATAACTAAGGAACCCTAGCAGGTTTCCTGAAATCTAGCCTGAGATAACTCAGGAACCATAACAGAAAAACAAACACGCGCCCTTGCTGGAAGCTACCCGATGTCATAACAAACAACATGACATCCAATACACTTTGTTCTAACTAACCAAACTTACCCAACAGTACACTACACAAGTATGTCATGACATTAGTCAAGACATCTACACACAACAATGTTTTACCATAAAATGCAGCCAATCAAGAACATCTACACAATTCTACTCAGTTTGTGCCACATCATCCCATATATCAATGTGGCACATTCTAAAACTCATTTTCACTATTCAAAAAGTCAAATACAATACTTCTACTCTATTGGTGGTCACGGGTTCGAATCCTCCCAAAGACAGAAAAAATCTCATCTTAGACAAAATTATCTAACAGCTCAACTATTACTTTAACTATGTATATTCTCTTAATAGTTATTTCAATTTTCATAAACAAAAGATATTTGAGAATCCAAACACAATAAAGTATTTTGTTTTCTTAAAATTATAACAATAAAAATAACACTTAAAACATATCTTTTTAATCTTAAAGTAATTGTTACACAATTTTTAGTGAAAAATCATTGACTTGATCTTAAAAAATAATAGTGGATGCAACAATTTTTTTATCATTTATGTATACTTTACTACTATATTTTTTTATATAATACCAAATAATAAACTAAAGACAAACAAAAATATTTTTAAAATTTCTCGCATATTTGAATATAGAGGTTTTCAAAAGTGAATTATAATTTACTATTTTCTTTTACAATAGTGAATATATAGATTATAATAAAAACAACAATAATGATGTTTAAAAAAAGAACACTCATTTTTACTGATATCAATATCAACGAAATCAAATAAATTTTTACATTCTAATTAATAAAAATTAAAATAATTAAATAATAAAACAATGAAGCTAATATAGCAACTAGCATTTTCAACACTTATTCATAAGATAACTAAAGTTTTATAATAATTACATATAAACTTTTAATCTTATTTAACACTAAAAATTAATACATACCTTTAAGAACTTAACATTAAATATACTAAATATATTAAATCAAAGATAAGTATAAAAATTATATGAGAATCAATGTCAATTTAATTTATAAGAATGTATTTTTCTTTTGTAATAAAATATATCTTTTAGATGTGATTAATTCATATTATTGTTTCAATTATAATTCATAATAAATTATTGTAATATATATTTATTTATTATATTTTGTCAAAACAAATTTTTAAGATATTTAGAGTTTAATAAAAAATTAATTAATTAGTTTAAAACCGCGCATCGCGCTGATCTTATTTAATATATTCTTATAGTTGAGAAATTTTCTATAAATAGATCTTGCAATGGAATTAGAGAGAGGTTTGAAAAGCTAGAAATTCTACAAAGAAGAAGAAGAACACAGAGTTCCAATATTTAATCCTCTGTCCTCGTTATTTATGAAGGAATATAACGCTATAAGGCATATCATCCATGTTCCCTTGATGTTTAGAGATTTCAAGTTATTTAAGTGATCTTCTTAGATTTACCATTTATATGCTAATTTTTTTTTAGAGATGTATAACTTATAATACTTGCTTGTTGTATTAACTTTTCTTAGCATGACCTAAACCTCTTCTGTTGGATGATATTAATTTTAATGAAAGTAGTAATCTTTTTAATCCTAATGAGTTTGTTGCTATGATATTTTTAGTTGTTGTGATTTCTTGTCATACATTTATTTTAGAGTTTGATCAACTTAAAAGTATATAGCAGAATGTTCGGTTGTGGTAGAGTTTAACAAATGAATTTCATAAACTAATATGGTAAGGTATCAAAAACTAATATGGTAAGGTATCAAGTAGACATGAATTACTTCCCTAATCACTTGGGGTATAAAGAATTAAGGTTATAGGGATAAACAAAACAAATTTTATAAGAAGTGTATTAGTGTTGTTGCAAGAATGAAAAATTACATCACTTTATTTTAACAAGAGGAGAATGAATCTATGTTTGATGTTTGTTAAATGTTTAAAGAGTTGTTGAGACAATGTCTACATATGGAATTCCAATTTGCTTATGGAAGTGTTTTACTATAGTTTTGTGCTACCTTCTAGAAATATGTTAGACGCGTTATCTGGTGGAGCTTTACAATCCAACTATTATATCGAAGTTTTCCAATTAATTTAACAATTTTAAAAATTATTCAAGAAATATGTTAGACACGCCATCGTAATGAAGTTGGTTAAACGACTAAAGACAATCCTAAACCCTCCAATTTTGAAGGTGATGCATAACATACATAAAGTCTTACTTTACATAAGATATAAATTCTTTATGAATTTATAATGTAGTTTTATTCATGTATCAAACTAGGCTAATAGACCTCTACAACCAGGAATATCCACCCATTCAATTTCCACAAACAATTCACCACTCTCAACATTTCTCAATCTTAGAATCATTTCTTGAACTACTTTCCCATCTTTCCAAACACAGCTACTCTCTTCAGCAAGACAATTAGTCCTATTTACTTGAACCTTTTTGAGTACATAACCATCTGGAAGACTATCCAACCTCATTTGTACTGCTTCAGCATATGGTTTCAAGTCTATCTCTGCATCACCCACTTTGTCATCAATAGAGAAAGTGTCTTTGTCAAAAACTGTCTGTAAAAAGAAACAAAACATTCACAATATTAATCATAATTCATATAAATTTTCCTTGTAATTCAAACTTAGATGGGAGCAAGTTTTGTTACCAGATGTATTGGAGTATGAACATTTCTTATTGAAAGGGTTAGTTCTTCATTCCACACAGGGTTGCAATTGTTTTTCACAACACGAGTCCTCAGCTTCTGCATCATTACAAAACAATAACTGTTAAGATCATTATTAAGAACACCTTCAAAGAAGAAAAACATTAAGGTTTGGAACCTGCAGATCACCAGCCATGTTGACAACAACATAAGGGTCGCTGGAATTAGTATCACGAATGGCAATATCAATTCCTCTTTTGATACGAATTTTGAGAAGACCAAGAACATTATCCAACATCCACGAATTGTCTTCCCATGTGGTTTCGATCATTATGAAGTTTAAGGAACAACGTGTTTGGGAGTATGGAAAGAAATCAAACGTTTGAAAACATGAAAAGGAATCTTATAGTCATAAGGTAAAAGAGAAAGAAAAAAAAATCAATGGTAGCAATATTAGCGATCCTTGTTGCAGCCAACCTGTTGTCTCTCCTCCTAGCCTCTCCTATAGCTACATACTTGCTAGATCACAAATAATATATCCATGTTTTGTTTTCTTTCCAAAACAAGCATTTCTAGAACTTTGTTTATGGAATGACTTTTCACATATTTTTTAATATGGTTAACAACTTATAAATTTCATAAAATCTTGTCTAACGTGTATCAAGTAAATCAATTTTTTAAATTAATATATATATTATTGTCCATTATCATTTTGCCATTTTCTTTATTTTGTTCAATATAAACACTTACATATTTGCATCTAAGTTTGTGTGTTTCTTGTAACAACCATGAGGTGTCTTTTAAATGGGATTGTTATCCGGAGGGAAGGACGATCAACGGTTCTGAAGTGGAAGATTCATCTACGGTGGCTCAATTTTTTGAATTGTTTAAGCGATATGGGTCTTTGAAGGAAATAGTCATTCCGCCAAAGAGAAACAAGTTCGGAAAAAAATTTGGTTTTGCGAGGTTTGACAATGTTGGTGATTATAAAATGTTGGCAGTTAAATTGGAGAGGGATTTTTGGGTGTTAAGATGAGATGGAAGAATGCTTTGTATTACATAGTTAATGTGTATTCAGCGTGTGACTTAGTTTCGAAAAAGAGATTGTGGGATAAGTTATTGCATTTAAGGAAGAAGTATATGGATAGTCCTTGGGTGATAGGGGTGATTTTAACTCTGTTTCAAATTCTTATGAAAGGAAGAGTAGTGTGTTGTGGAATAGAAAGTCAGAAATGAGAAGTTTCAGGGATTTCATTAAGGAGTCAAGTTTGGTGGATGTCCCTTGTTGATCTTATCAAAAGATCAGAACCTGAGATGAACAAAGACAAACATCTGTGATGTTGAGTGTGAAAGAGAAAGAGAAGGTGTACTTACAAGACACTCTGATGCTAAAGTAAGAAAACGAGCAAGAGAGCGAGCAAGTACAAAATATGTGTGTTTTAGGGTAAAAAATTGGATACTTGACCCTCTCAAATGAGAGAGTTTTTATAATGCCCCCAGCGCTTGGTCATTGGTCTCTATTTTCGGGGCGAGATAACCGTTTTCCAAAGAATAGGTAATTGTCAGAACTAGCCGTTGGGACGGGCAGACGGACTTGTAACTAGCCGTTGGCGCGGGCAGAGGCGTCGTTACGGGGACAAGCGTCTTGGCTATTTCTGAATGGTGGAACCGTGCATGATGGGCTAAGACTGATGGGGAGAAGTTTAGTGACCAAGGGTAAATAGGTCAGTCTCTCCTGTTGGAGGGACAGAAAGGTAAACTTTCCACTAAAGAGGTTGGACCTAGAAAATTGGGTCGTTCTGGGAGCAGAAGTGAGTTGGACCATGCCTAACCATTGAGTTAGTCCGGAACACTTGTTTTGAAATTTCCTTTACATGGGTTCGCGTTTTTATCATAATGCTATAAAGGGAATGGCGAGGAAGAGGTTTATTGGAGCTGTTACTACGGAGAATGTCGTAGCTGATTCGATAGCTAAAATTAAGGAATATGTTAGGTTGTTTTTCGCTCAAAAATAAAGGGATCCTAGTTTGGGTAAACCTATGTTGGAGGATGGTCAGTCAAATTCGTCTAGTTCTGTTGATGTCAACTTCCTGGAAGAGCCATTTTCGGTTGTTGAAATTAGAGCAACAGTTTGGGACTGTGATTGTGCAAAGAGCCCGGGCCCGAACGGGTTTAATTTCGTTTTCATTAAAAAGTGCTGGGAGTTTTTGAAAGAAGATATTGTAGCCTTCGTGCAGGGATTCCACGGCAAGGCTATCCTGTCAAAGGCTATCTCCTCTTTTTTTATTACTTTGATACCTAAAATTCCTAATCCCATCAACTTGGTTGATTTTAGGCATATATGTTCGGTTGGAAGTTTATATAAGATTTTGGCTAAATTGTTAGTTCAAGATTGAAAATTGTGCTTATACGTTGCCAGCAACATGAAATCATCCTTCGTTTGTGACATGGGTGTTTGGTCGGATACAATTTGGAGCTGGGGAGACTGTGGAATCCATTGCTTGGAGGAGAGTTCTTACAATGGAAATTTTGGTGAGTTGCAGAACCTGTTGGCTGGTCACCTTTCTGTTATGGATTGTAAAGATCAATTATGTTGAGGACTTAGTCAGTTTGGTAAATCTATTGCTGGTGATGGGCAGGATCATAACAGTGGTGATTTTGTTTCAAAGCCTTATACTGTTAAGGGTGGTTATATTGGTTATTTGGAAGGAAATCCAACTGACTCTCTGGAAGCGGAAAAGCAGAAGGCAATTAATATTATTTGGAAATCTCTGATTCCAACTAAAATCAGAGCCTTTGGATGGAGACTATTTTTGGAGAGGATGGCAACAAAAGACCAACTAATCAAGAGAGGGGTTTAGTTAGAACATGCAGATGTTGTTTGTGTTCTATATAATAGGGAGGAGGAGGATCAAAATCATTCATTTTTCAATTGTCCAAATTTTAGCTCTGATTGGGGCCAAATTGAGAATTGGATTGGTTTTAAGGTCAATGCTTTTGGGCAAGCTTGGAACTTCTTCTTGAGATGGAATAATTTTTTAGATTTGTGTATGAACCCTTAGATTATTTATCTAAGTAGTTTTTGTTGGTGGGGAATTTCCTTTGTATCTCTTGTATCGTTTTAGATTTGAGCACCCCTAGTGCTCCCTTAAAGAATTGTTGTTTTGAAGAAAAAAATTGGAGTACATTACACCAATTTTCATGAAATATTTGAATAGAAAAATGTCTTTTATCTTGAACTTTATTGATAATATTGTATTCAGGTCGTTTGCAAAGCTCAGTTAAAATTGTGAAAATTGCCACATGAGGAATAAATAAACCGTTTATTTCTCGTGTCATAGAGTATCCTTTACGAGAATGACATGTTAATCTTCTAAATCAATTCAACGGTTGTCTGCATTTCACGTAATTCCACATGTGCGCAATTACGAAACATTCTCCCTATATAAAAAGCAAAACGAGCAATTTACATATATGTTAATCATTTATCATTCAAACTTCACTTTTCACTCTCTTACTTAGTTGAACTTCAATCTGAATTTGTCCTTCTTATGTTGTACATAGCCCACACGGCTCAAATCACCAAGACTTTCACACACAAAGATATTTTCTCGATCCTATCGGTGGCTTATCTAAGGTCTTGGTTCAATTTAATAGGATAAAAACTAGCAACTTTGTTCCACAGCTACACTTTTTTGGCACAACCAAAATCTTTTATGGAGAAGAAATCTTTTACTTTTTGCTTCTACTGGATTGTCAATTTCCTCCAACACCACACAATCCTAATATTGACATGCACTCAAGAACTTCACAAACATTAATGATAAAAGACACTATTCCATGATATATCTCACTTTCTTTAAGAATTGAGAAACAACAAATTCATGGTATCTTGTTAGAGGTCAAAGATGATTGCAGATTCAAAAGAATATTGTTTTTTGGTGTACTTTGAAAGCTAAACACTTTATTTTGAAATTTCTCAATGCTTTGACGTTATTTCTCACATATATTGGAAAATAACATAGGATAAGTTATATATGTGATTGTGATAAAGAACTAAAAATGAAAAAAAAATTCATTGTGAAAGTTGTGTTGTAATTGGGGTATCTAGTTCTGGACTGACCCAATGGCTAGGCATGACGCAACCCACTTCTGCTCCCAAAACGACCCAATTGCCTAAGTCCAACCTCTTTGGTGAAAAGTTTACCTTTCTGCCCCTCCAACAGGGGAGGCTGACTTCCAGCTAGTCTCTAACCATTACGCACGGTTCCACCATCCAGAAACAGTCAAGACGCTTGTGCCCGTAACTACGCCTCTGCCCGCGCCAATGGCTAATTATGGGCACGTCTGCCCGTCCCAATGGCTAGTTCTGGTAGTTACCTATTCTTCGGGAAACAATTATCTCACCCTGAAAATAGAGACCAATGGCCAAACATGGGCATTATAAAAACCCTCTCATTTGAGAGGGTCAGGTATCCAATATTCACCCTGAAACATGCATATTATGTACTTGCTCCCTCTCTTGCTCGTTTTCTTACTTTAGCATTGGAGTGTCTTGCAGGTACACCCCATTCTCCTATTTCACACCCAGCATCACAGACGCTTGTCTCTGGCCCATCTCAGATTCTGATCATTTGGTAAGATCAATAGCACCGTCTGTGGGAACTTGTTATCGTCGTCTTTTATCTCTTTATAGAATACAAGACCAAAACAGTTCTTCAAATTTCGGATAATGGCTGCCCATGAGAACAATCTTGATGCTCGTAACTCTGTTTTTCTCCCTATCGACAAGACTGATGTTGATGGAGCCACCACCTCTCATGACGGCGACGTCCTTCGACAGAGGGACGGAGCCACAACTTCTCCAACCCCTGTTCGTGCAGATCACGGCAAAGCCCCACCTGTCCCACAGTACCTGCCAGTTCCAGTTTCGCCCAACGCTGACCCGACCATGGCGGCCCTCCTCGAGGCTCTCAACAAAACCAACCACATAATCCTTAACCAAAACGCGAGGATTGAAGCATTTGAAGAATCTCGTCGTCCAAGATCCTCTCCACCGAGGAAAGTACGTCAACAACGACGGAGTCCCCCTCTCCGACGCGAGAGGAACCTTCAAACGCCTCCAGAACCAGAGACCTTGACCATCTACAAACGCGACCAGATTTCTCCCCAGAACCAGCATTCCCCACAACCCAAGAGGATCAGAAGAGGCCACCAAGCAAAATCGCAATGTTCGTCTCCGCCTAGATCCAAGATCCAAGCACAAACACCGTCACCGCGATGAGGCCACCGTCCTACCTATAAATGTGTTGCTCGTTCCCCTTCTTGGAC